TTTCTAAAACTCTTGCAGGAGAGAGAGAGAGAGAGAGAGACAGTGTCTGTGTGATCAGCTGTGAGCTGAGTGGGAGCCTTTGCAGCAGCCAGGCACTTAACTCCCTCCCTGCCGGACTCTCCCAGGCAGCTGGTGTGCCGCACTGGCACCAGTTAACGTGCCATGGGGAGGGGATGGGGAGAACCAGGAACACATCACATGGGAGTCACGATGGAAGGGGGTGGCCAGGACCCCATCAATCCTAAGGATGGCCCTGGTCTTGTTTATTTAGATGTCCGGAGTGGATCAGTAGCTTTCATTTCTGCCTCACACCCGTTCCCCACCTGCCTGCTCCCGTTTTATACCGTGCTTGTGAATGCTTCGTTACTGTGTACATGCAGCACCTAGTACAAGGGGGTCGTGGCCCACACCCAGGGCTCAGCAAATACAAATCATGGCCTCTGTTGGACTGCAAGGCAATAGAACACCACGTATCAATAAAATTAAAGTGGCACACTGCTAGTATCCATGTGTTACTATCATATTACAATATACAACTGCAGCCCAGGTTGCCAACACTGCAAGGAAGTGCAATAACCACTAGGTTATCTAGCCCCCTGTAGCAAACCCTCTTCAGAGAACCTAGCTCGAACCTTTTCCCTTGAATGCAGGCAATACCTTCCTCCTCTTGCCAAATGAGGGCAGGAAAGACCACCACCTGTAGGTACCAAACTTGCATCTATTCAGGGGACAGCAACGAAAAAAAATAGGGATAGGAGGACAAACGGGAGCTGAAGTCCTAATGGGCCCTTGTAGAACTACAAACTGTTTTAATTTCATTTTGACAAACGGATGAGTTTTCAGACTGGCAGCGTCCCAGCAGAGTTTGTAGGCTACTCTAGTCATCTGAGGAAGGGGAAATCCTAATCTAAACAGCTGTATGATTAAATGGTTTTATTTTGCTTAGGGCTTTTCTTTATTAACATGTGAAAAAAAAAAGTGTCAAAGCAACCGTCGCAGTCTTGTCTAGCGCTCGTCTCCAGGGCTTCCCGGGCCCCATGCAGAGGCTCTCTTTACATCAGCTCCTGCTCTCTGCTGCTGTTTCCCTCTTAGCCTCCTACTGACAGGTGTGGAGAGTCCCCACCCACGACCTTTCCTGACCAACCTCGCTCCTATCTGCTTCCCCTGCCTTAGCAGCAGAAAGCCATACATGCAATTTCCTGTCGGGCACATGACTAAGAGCAGGCATAAGATCCACAACTACCACTTCCAGTTCTCAAGGTCACTACAGCTGCAACAAGTGCACTGAGGACAGCTCGTACACAGTCCTCCAGGTCTACTGTCTTGTGATGGTCCCTTTTCTAGGATCCAGGTTATCATATGAGGAGAGGGATAGAAAGACTGGGACTTTTCAGCATGGAAGAGATGACCAAGGGGATATGATAGACATGCATCAAAACATGACTGGTGTGGAGAAAGTAAATAAAATTATTTACTCCTTCCTATAACACAAGAACTAGGAGGCACCAAACAAAATGAATAGGCAGCCGGTTTAAAACAAATAAAAGGATGTACAGTGAAACCTTTGTTATCCGGCACTCTGTTAACCAGAAAACGTTGTTAACCGGCATTGCCCCCAGCCACAATACTGTCACATCTTCAGGCACACAAGCCTGGCTTGGTTTACCATGATTGGCTTAACAGTTTTTTATTTAAGAAGTACTAATCTTCTTTAACTCAAAATAGTGCTTCACACTACAAAACTACCAATATTAAGAACATGAGTTTTACTATTATTGGTTTCTCCTAGGTTGACAGGACCCTCAGATAGCCGGAATTTTTAGATAACCGGAATGCCCTAATCCCCGAGTGTGTCTGATAACAGGTTTTACTGTATCTCTTCATGCAACACAGAGTTAATCTGTGGAACTCCTTGCCAGAAGATATTGTGAAGTCTGTGACTATAGCAGGGTTCAAAAAAAGAACTAGATAAATTCATAGAGGATAGGTCCATCAATGGCTATGAGCCAGAATGGGTAGGAATGGTGTCCCTAGTCTGTCAGAAGCTCGGAATGGCAATAGGGGATGGATCACTTGATTCTCTGTTCCGTTCCCTCTCGGGCACCTGGCATTGACCACTGTAGCAAGAGAGGATACTGGACTAGATGGACCTTTGGTCTGGCCCAACGTGGCCGTTCTTATGCTCAAGTGTTCTGCTTTTTACAAATGTGTTTGCAAACTGCCTGAAAACCCACCCATGGTTCAGCTCAGACTGGCAAAGATAATTTAGCGCTCAGAGTGAGCGTCAGAGCTGCACAGCCCAGCAATGGGCAGCAGGACTCAAGTGACACACAGACCTAGACACAGACTCTCTGCCTAGGGGGTGAATTTCGTCCCGCGTGCACTTGGTTATGGCTGTGCCTCCACCCACGGCCAGGTACAAACATGCTACAACACCGCTCCAGGGTGGCAGCCCCCTTTACATGACCAAGTTTCAAAGCCGGCATTGGGGTCATGAGCAGGTCTACTGATCACGTCGAGGAGGCGTCCTCTGGGATTACGGTACAAACGAAACAGAAAGCGTGTGCTAACTAACTGGCTGAGGGGTCCTGCGTACTTCTGCAGCATCTCTTAATACCCTAAACGCGCCAAACCCAGTCACCTGTTAGAGTGCCGTCCGCCATCAGGTCTTGTACCCTATTAATGGCATCCTGTTGGGGAGGATGGGAAAAAGAAGTGGTTAAAAGGAGAGAGGCTTGGAAACAGAGAGATTGGGCTTCACATCTTATTCTCAAATGCAGAATTTGGGTGGAACATACGCACCAGCATTTCTATATAGAGGCAAGTGATAAGCCTGTCATCGGGATAAGGTTTTGTCTTGGCCAGGATGCGGTCAGACTCTGCAACCCAGTGTGTGCAAATAGCTCCCTCCCCACAGCTTTTGCAAGAAAAACCTCCTATCTATGCAGACCATGCAACTCTGCCATTTTACACCAGCAAGGATCTGGCCCAAATACATGAATGAAAATCGATTTGTTCTGTGTAAAAGCTGGTGTGTTCTCCACTGGCCCAAAAAGTAACATACGCCCTCGAGGTAATACCACGGTGACACCCGGACTCAATGTGACCAGACAGGTGGTGGTTGTTTACACAGCAGCTGACGGGTGTGAGGTATGTCCGAGTCAAATCAAGAACATGGCCCCACCCCAAAATGCAGACAGAAGTAAGGCAGAAGAGGAAGACACATGAATGTAGAACAGAGGCCAGTAAGTACAAATGTAAGGACATGATTTCCCTTGGAAGATTCGATCGTTTTTGCAGGGGTGAGGTTGCTTGTTTTTAATAAACAGTGCTGGCAAGGAATGACTCTAGGGACAAACAAATTAACATATTTTACTGTACATGAGAACAGCATGGCCAATATTGTAATTTCCCTACTCATTGGAGCAGCTTCCACTCTATCCCACAACGACCATGCTCTTCCATTCCCAGACTGGTGAATCTGGACACAAAGAAAGGCTTGGATTACAGTGTTAGCAGCTAGCCAGAGGTAGACATTCTGGGCACATTCCTTCATGGCCAGGACTCATTGGCTGGATGGCTCTTCCAATTAATTCCTCTTCTTCTGAACTTCAGTCAAAACTCAAGTATTTGCACCAAGGCACTCATGGAAATATCCAGTTTGCCCACCCTCCCAGCGTCCTGCCACAAACATGCCGCGTTGGCTCTTAGTTCTGGCTCCTAACGCTTACCTGGGTTCTTAGTCCCAAATGGGAAGCCAGGTCTTCCAGCAGAACCACCTTTGTGTTCTATGGAAACAAACCACAGTTATAAGCTGCTGATGGAGAACTGGGACCAGCTTTTTATCTGTTTGGTCACACAAATGCACAGAAGGTGTCTATTGGGAGAGGCACTAGAATGCAAATTCACAATTCCTAGCTAACCCCCCGGCTTGGGAAATACCGGAGTGGAAGGATTTATTTAAATCAGTTTCAGAGGGGTAGCCGCATTAGTCTGTAACAGGAAAAACTTAAACAACAAATAATCTGGTAGCACTTTAAAGACTAACAAAACATGTAGCTGGTATCATGAGCTTTCCTGGGCACAGCCCACTTCTTCAGATGACTGGAGTGCTGGAAAGACATTTAAATCACAGTTTGTCTTTTGGAGAAATCAGAGGTTCTTGTCCGCCTGCAGATGAAGCTCTGAATAGGTCTCTAGGGATCTGTTATAACCAATCTCTAAAATAAGAGGCAAGATAAGCAGAAACATTTTGAACTATTGATGAGCAGCTATTCATAAAAAGCCTCTGACTGTCCTTGTAACCTGTATCCCTCTGCCAGTGTGAGGATAAGCTTCCAGTTTGTACAATGCTATTTCTTTTCACTTCCATTTGGGATGCTGCAAATGAGGGTTTTTTTGTTGTTTTTTAAAGGCGAAGTGGCTCAGCTCTCCAGATGGATTTATGTTCTTCAGTGGTTTGTCTGCTTTTTACTAACACTAGCACTGTCGCCTTTACGACCTTCTTTCGCAAGTTAACCCCTAATCTAGCTTCTCTAGGAATGAGAAACATTCCTTGTGCTCTGTCAGGAACGCTTGAATCTTATCTGGCTTCGGTACTGACTCTGTGCATGTCTTTAGCCAAGTCATTCAGTATCGGATTTCCCACTGCTTCATTCTAGCTCTACAATGGTGTAATCCTAGGGAGATACCCAGCAGATTCAAGTCACACAATGCACTGGTGAAATGGGAACTCAACCACGCCATTACTCAGTTTCCACATCAGTAAAATGGGTTTTACTTTCATTCATGCAATGGTTCTGCGAAGGTGCGTTAATGTGTGTAAGGAAGTTGAAATATGAAGGAATACATAGGTGCTAAGTATTAGTCTCTAAGTTCCAGGAGATTCTTCCTTGCAGTCCCCTGGGTAGGCAGTATAGGGCAGAGTTCTACAATTTCAGATGCAAGTATGACATTTGAATGGGACACAACGCTTCCAGAATGAGGTTTACATTTTGACTTATTTATGGTCACAGCAACTCTAACCTGTATAGACATCTGAGAAATAAAAAAGGTTGTGCGTAGGTCATGCTCCCTATCGTGGGGGAGGGGGAACCCACGGACTTACTAGTTGTGAAGTTAGATACAGCCAAGCTAGAGAACTGACTACCATGAACTGAAGATACAGCACTGAAACCAGTCCATGGAATTCAGTTCTCAGAGCTGGGAACTGCGACGGATCATCACATCTTCATTTTAAACGACAGGGGAGAGGCGGGGGGGGGGCAAAAGAAAAAACAACCCCTCCCCCCCAAGCCAAACAATGCACCCACTCACCCCTTTACTAAATGAGAAAAGAGGATTTCAATCTTCCCTTAAGAACAGCCATGCCCTAACTACTGAATGAGTTTACTGTAAGCTTTCCAGGTTAATTGCGTGTCCTGGCTAGGATTCCAGGAAATCAACGCTCTTTGGCAGAAATACAATCATCAAAGCTTGAAGCCTGATTCATGGCACAGCATTTAAGCACGTGCTTAACTTCCTGAAGCTCCATTAATGTCAATAGACCAGCAGTTACTTATGTACTTTGCTGAACGGGGGCCAGAAACGGTTAGTTAGGGCCAAGTCCTGCTCCGGTTACTTAAGCAACGAATCCCACCGGAACCACGAATCCCACCGGAACCACGAATCCCACCGGAACCACGAGAGGGTTTGCGTGACTCCGGGAGCAGGCTCTGGACCTTACTTCCCAGAGCAAGGGAGTGCGCAGCCGTGTATTCAGGGTTTATCCACCAAACCTCCTTTGGCAGTTTTGTAACAGGCCCCTTTCAAAAACAAAATTGGTTGCTCTCCGGAGCTGCTCAGGGCTTTGGAAACAGCGAGTCCAACTGAAAATGGTTTCAATGTGCCAAGGCACAGCCCAAGGTTGAAATACTAGGGACTGAAAAACAGCGTGCTAGGCAGAGGCTGGCGGTTACATGGTTTCCCGCACTGTGGGCTCTGCAGTAGGGATGTAAGCGACTAGTCGACTATCTGCTAAGCAAAAGCTTATCGGACAGTCAATTAGTGACTTGACTTGTCACTCTCCCCCCTTCCGCCCCACTGCCTCTATCAGAGAGAGGCAGCAAGGGCGGAGAGGAGCAGGATCCGGTGCTGGGGGGAGCCCAGCACCGTCTCCTGGGGAGAAGGGGCAGGAGCATAGTGGGGAACGGGCGGCGCTTCCACTTTTGAAACGTAGCAAGAGCAGGGCCTCTTGTACATTTCAAAAGCAAAGCGCTGCCAGGACAGTGTGGCCAGTGGGGGACTCGAGGAGCACCCTGATGGCCCAGAGCTCCCTGCTTCTGAAATGTACAAGAGCCCCAGCGGGACTCAACCAGTCTGGATCGCTCCCGGGGCTCTCGTACATTTCAAAAGCGGGGAGCACTGGGCCAGTGGGGGGCTGCTCGCGTCCCCCACCTGCTGTGCTCCCGCCTTTCAAACGCAGCAAGAGCTGGCAGGGCTCTTGCTATATTTCAAAGGTGGAGGCCGCCTTTATCAACGAATCGAATAGCCGATGCAAATTACATCTACTATTCAATTAGCTGATTCATCTAAATTTAACATCCTTACTCTGCCGTGCAAGCCTGATAATGCAGAGCCTGCAGAGAAGCCTGCCCGGGAGCAGGGCCACCAGCCCCTTCCCGCCCAGCTCCCGGGGAGGAGGCTTAATGGTTAGTTGTTTACACTCAAACATCTCTAGCAAATGTGTTTCACTTTGCCTTTTGGGCCAGCGACCGGCACTCTACGGTGGGGCTACCTCCCCGGGTCCACGCCTTCTGGCAGCTTTTGAACAAATTGATTGGTAGTTGTTTAAACTACTGACTGAGCCCACAGAGTCCTTCTTGAGAAGTGCCCTGCCGGGGCCATGTCGAAACCAAGCAGCTTTTCTATGGCTTCTCTTTCACAAGCCAGATCCCCCGGTTTGTCACCTTACAATCAGCTGCCGGGAATGGAAACACCTTTGGTACTGATTTCACACAGGCACGCAAGATCAGAAAGGCCTGAGACTAGAGGAGCAGCCAATGAACTTAATAACCAAAGGCGCTTGGAGGGAACTTGACGTTCAATCTCCATTTCATTTCAATGGGATCTGGGTGCCTTGCCATCTTGTCCTTTGTAGAAATCCCAGCACCAACCCATCTCCCTCCCCCCCCAAAAGAAAAACCAAGGAGTCTATATTTCTTGTAAAATGTCCCTAAGAATAAAATATGAAGCAAGCTGCCTCCACTCAGAAACTGACAAGAGGCAAAACAGCTTCCCCAACAGAAAGGTTAAGTTACATTTTTTTTTGAGGCATCAGCTGATCTTTAAGACGGTTTCAGACTGACACTGACAGATTAACACCGTTTCAGCAGAGAAGTCATGCCTTCTAAAAAAGCAACAACATAGTCAGCTAGGATGGATTGCATGCTGCCTTTGTCTTCTCTAAACCAAGGCTATTTTCAAGCTACAGAGAAAGTTAAATATTGTAAGAAAACAAGGAGCTGGATTTTGTTGTCCATCCCAATTCAGCAATGCATGCACTTAAGTGCCTTCCTGAATGGGGATAGTTACCCGAAATAGGGCCTTTAGCACATGCTTAAGTCCTACTTAGTGCCACCTGAGCCAAGCTGTCTTAGCTTCCAGGTCTCTGAGTCGCACTGATTGTCTATCTGAAATTGGACACACAATGTGTATTGCAGTCAAAATGTAACAGTAGAGGTTTCTATTTTAATTGGAAAGTGCAAGGCATCACACATACCCCAATGCTTATTAAAAGCCCAAAGACACCCTAATGAGTGACCTTTTCTACAACACCCTTCTAAAGGTTAAGACGTTGCCACGCATCTCAAGGGTAGAGGAGTTAGAGAGGAAATAAAGTTAGAGGTTTGTGTGACCTTTACTGTGCTTGTGTTTCAAGAGGATCAAAAATGATGCACGTGGTACAACAGATACCACACAATTTCAGCAATCCTCACTCTCACTCACTGGGCGGTGGGGGGCGGGAGAAACTAAATTAAACGGCAACGGAGCCAGTGAATTTATTTTTAAAATAAAACATTCAGGGCTGAACCTTGTATGGTACGGAGAGTTCTCACCTACCATTGGCAACGTCCTACCTCATTGGATTGGACACCAAAAAACCTGTAGGTACAGGTTGAACCTCTGTGGTCTGGGACTTTCTGGTCTAGCAACATCCATCGTGCGGAAGGACCACAGAAGTTGCTGGACTAAAAAGCCCCAACCACAGAGGTTGCCAGCGTCTTGGCCTTCAGTGGAAGGGGCATGAGGGCAGGGAGCCAGCCAGGAGGGGAGCCCCACAGGTCCTGAAGCTGCTGCTGGCCGGGAAACAGAGAGCAGGGAGCCCCCACGTTCGGGGGTGCAGAGCTGCTGCTGGCCAGGAGCAGGGAGCCCCGGCAGTCTGAGCAGGGCTGCAGCTGTGAGTGCAACTCTGCCAGCAGACCAGGGGTAGGGCACTGGCCAGGCCAGCGGCCTGAAGGGGAGCCCCAGAACAGCCTGAGCTCCCCTACTTCAGCAAACTCTCTCCTTTGAGACTGTAGGAATTTAACTACAAGGACTAGGAGTGCAATTCAGGACCCTTGGCAGACGATGGTACAACAAGCCGTCAAGCCGCAGCAGCAAGGGCTGTCCAGGCCTGCACTAGGCACTCAGCAGCTAACCCCTGCTGCCATGGCTTCACGGCTACTGGTACCTGAGCTAACTAAATCAAGCTACTGTGGTGCGTATGTGTGCGCTCCAATTACACCTTCAACTGCCAAGCAGACATACCCAAAACAGACCTACGTGCTGACAAGTCTACCATACTTTTACAAAGGCCTTTCAAAGGCGGAATAAAATATTTAGTTATTGATAACGTCTAACAGGAAGTGACATGCTCCCAAAGCGCAATGCTTAAACTGGAATATCTAGTACATGATCCCAAAGCAAACAGGAAAGGAAAAATTCTGTGTAAACCTTTCCAGAGTTTGACCTGAAATATCCACGAGCCAATCAACTAATCACTCATTTATGAGTTGCTGCTCGTGGATATTTCAGGTCAATCAACTAATCACTCATTTATGAGTTGCTAGAGCAAAACAGACACTTTAGTTCTATGTCACAGAGGGGCAGTCGTGTTAGTCTGTATCTGCAAAAAACAACAAGGAGTCCTGTGGCACCCTAAAAACTAACAGATTTATTTGGGCATAAACTTTCGTGGGTAAAAGCCACTGCCTCTGACAAAGTGGTGTTGGTTACCCACAAAAACTTATGCCCACATAGGTCTGTTAGTCTTTAAGGTGACACGAAATGCCTCTCGTTTTTACTGCAATTCTACTTCATAGATCTCCTGCATATCTGTTTTATTAACAATCCACCTAGATATTTTCCTCCTTTACACAGCTCTCTATCAATAAATATTTTTATAATAAATAAAATACATAAAAGGAACACACACTGAATATAAAGAAAGAGGAATGGTAGCTTACCTTAATGTAGCTGAGAAATTCCGTTAGAAAGCTATGGGACTGGATATAGCAAGGAAAACAATTATTAATTCAAATGAACAGACATCAAATCAAATGCATCTACACATTGATGGGAAAACAAGGATTTTCAGACTTAAATCATAAAAGGCACAACACGCAGACCGAGAAGGACCGATTCTCATTTGTTGCACTAGTGTAAATCTGGAGTTAATATCATCTACAGATTTATACAGATGAATCAGAAATCAGAGTAAGGCTCAAGATGTTTGTAATTAAATATATATATATTTAAGCCTATCCAACTAGTGGAAATAACCAGTTTCTATTTTCTTTAGCTCTACGTCATAGACAGTGTGCCACGTACACAGCTGGACCAAGTTACTTTCAGCATCTTCCCAGTAAGTTAGAGTCTTTGAGGACCAAATCTTGCTCTCTGGATGTGTAAAGAGCAGGGTGCGGAATGATATCAACGGAAGACCACTCTCATGCATTCAAGGGGAGAGTTTAGCCTACACAGAGAAACCGAAGCCAATTTTTTAAAAAAATTGGATGCCTAATTGTAAGCATCCAAATAAAAGCTGCTTGATCAAAGGCGCTGCATGCCCAAAATTTGCATTTAAGTCAATGGAAGATGCTGGCGCTCGGATCCTCTGGAAATTATTTATTTATTTACAATATTTTTACCCCATGTCTCTATTTAAAATATTCGAGGCAGATTACAACATATTTTAAAGACACAATATAAATATCTATAAAAAAATTAAAATTATGTCATTTATAAAAAAAATATGTCATTTATATGATTAGTTACTTAACTACAGATTTAAGTGCTTGGCTCCAGATAGTCCTGCTTGAGGATATTATTACTAATCAATAACAGAGCATGTGACTAGAGGATACTGGATGCCTTGTAAAGCACAAGGCAGAAAGCCTACAGCCTTCTAGCCATGCAAGCAGTGACAGAAGCCCTGTATATGAGTGTGTCTTGGAATGTTTTTGTTTAATAAGCATTTGTAATATATACTTTATAAAAAAGCATTTGAAGTAGAGAACAAGGTTCCAACCTCTGTCTTAAGCAAGTCAAGCCCCCTTCTACCACCATTTACATACAGTAACCATTCCGGTCTGGGATCTTGTACACAAAATTCCTCCCATCCACCCCACTCCAAGCAAACCAATGCAACCAAGTTACATACACCTTTTGAAAGGGAGCCGATAGTGGGATTGTTTTGTTTTTTGCTGTAATTGATCTCCCAAGAGCATCTGTGGTGTAGTGGACACAGCTGCTAAACACTTCATGTAACTTACAAACAGATGGGAAAAACCTGCTGAAAACACTTTTAGTAGTAAGACACTACTACTCATAATTTCAGAAATGCCAATGGCAAAGTAAAAAGATTTTCAAAGGAACTGACAGGAGTTAGGATTACTCTAGTGGTCAAACTAGCTTTGTACCACTGAGAATCTACCTGCCCAATTACTAACTCGGCATGACTTAAGTCGGCCTTAGTTTAGAGCCACGATGAAGAATGCTTCTGGTGTCTACAGTGGGTGGCTAGACAGAGGGAGAGAGAGAAATAAAAAAAGACCAATACTACTCTGATTTACACCAATGTCACCTCACTGTCCTCAGCATAAGAATTTCGGACACTTAAAGTTATGCTAAAATCCAGTGCATTCAGCTGTAAACCTCTGGAGAGCAAGATCTCCATTTCCATGAAATGGAATTAAAAGGTAACAATTTTATAACAATTAAAATGTAAACCTATCAAAATAATTAGGCTCTACGGGTTATCAATGAGACTCTGGTCTTTCAGATTCCAGCATTAAAAAAAAAAAAAAAAAAAAAAAAAAGTACTGTACACCATGATGTGAAATGCCACCCTTGCAGGTAGCCATAACAGATTACAGTCCCACGCAGAGTGTAAGAAATTAGCAAGTCAGTTCCATCGCAAAGTGTACAGTTCCAAAACATCCAGAGACATAGGCATTTTAATGCTCCATTTAATAAAATACTTTAAAAATCAGCGTTGGTTCGGTTTTATCCCCTTAATTCAGAGATAATTAAACCCCTTAAATATTGAAGTTCAATTTAAAAACAGATGTTGCAGCTGATTTGGAATCACTTCACCTTTGGAATTGCTCTCTTCCACAGTTATTTGCCCTTCTAGCAGCACTTTCTGTAATTGTATTGCAAGGCTTCAAGCCTTCGGAAGACATTTGGATTACAGAACTCCAAGCTATGCTGCAAGCTCGTATTTGCTATATGCACAACACCTGCCATTTAAAGATTAAAAAAAATCCTTATGTACACTCAGCCCATGCCAGCTAAGTGCCATTTTAGAAGCAACTGACCCGGGACTCAATTCAGAATGGTTTGGAGGCATTTTTTCCGTTTGGATTTTTAAAACAATTGCAGGATAAGAGGCTATCAGAAAGGTTTAAATAGGTGAATCTAATCAGACTCAGACAGCTGGGCGGGAAGCTGGGAATCATAGCTTGCAGGGACAGCACAACCTACCTCTTCCTCAGTCATTGCTTCTTCAACACCCTCCTCTTCAACTACAAAACTCTCCTTCAGCTTCAGGTATTCTTCGTGCTCCCTCTGCTCCTTTTCTTCTTTTGCTTTCTTTTCTTCCTCTTCCTGCACAAAAATGAAGGGGTCAGTTCATTCCTCCCCAAACCAGGTTTAGTTTAATGGAGACCCTGCTTACTTTTATCATCCAGGTGCCAACCGGATTTGGCAGGACAGACCAGGAACAGAAGGAGTTTCTGAAAAGGGAAGCTTTAAACTCTCCCTTGATCGCATCATTAATTTCACAAGCTGCTCTGCCTCTGCCATTCTTTTAATACAGTAATTGTCTAGTGCACATGGTCTTAGACAGCCTAGATGCTCCTGGCCTGGCTCAGAAAAGATCTGATGAAGGGGAGAAAGACACTTTTATATAGCAAACTGCTTCCTCAATTTGCATGAACACATTTTTTTCTGCAGTGCAAGCTACAGGAAGTCCCTGCCCCCAAACCATAGGTTGATGCAACTTACAGGCCCTGATTCTACTCTCTTACACCAGTGTAAAAACAGGAGCAGCTACTGAAGTCAGAGGAGTTACACTAGTGTCAAAAAAGTGAGAGAAGAGTCAGGGCTATTATGTGGTTTAAAAGGTGTTTTTTTTTTTTAAATGGTAGACCACTCAACTGGTTATATATAAAAGATACAAGGGGAGCTGTATTAACTACCTGTTTTACAAACCCAACACAAGAGGTAGCCGTGTGTAGAGAAAAATTAAATTCTTTTGTGAGTAGTTGTCTTTAGTTAGCTAACAGCTATGAATTTTGTTGCAGTTCAATCAGTTACAGTCACTAATCCACTATATAGTCCAGAGTTTCTCTATTCAATCAATCAAGAACTCTTCCTAAATGGTCAGAGCTAGGACCACCAAATTTGGCATGCAGCTTCATCTTCTTATGCCAGGCATGTTAAACTCGAAGCCTACTGAGGGCCACACAAACGAAAACTGATAGTTTTCAGGGCCACCAAAGACATCGGAAAGTCATAATTATTTATTATTATAGATTACGTTTTAGGATTATTTTATAATTTTTCAGGTCTTGTTTTAATATAATACAATAATTTGATGTGTAAAATTGTTATTTGCCCATATCAAATATTTTTTAATTTAAATATACATTTAAGGTACTTTTTGATTTTTTTTACGATACAAAACTTGTTTTGCTGAAAACAAGTATAGACCGTGGTTAATCAAATAGAACAGGCTTCTGTGAAAATTTCAGATACTTTGTAAATTTGAGATTTTGCATAAACATATAATATTCATGCAATTGCAAAAATGTGACATATTTATTGATATAAAATTAATATACATTTTGTGATTTTATTTGGGAAAAAATAAACAAAATGTTAACAAAATATCCTCCACCTCTCCCCCAAAGCTAGGCACTCCCATACCCCAGTTCTAACCCAATCTCCACCCCTTCCCCCAGAGTCTCCCCCTCCCCTCCTCTAACCCAATGCCTCCTCCCTCCCCCAGAGCCAGGCACTCCCAGCCCCCCCACAACCTAATGCCTGGGTCCCAGAGCAGCTGCCACACATTTCATCTTCAGGTGCTGGGGTGGCATGAGCACAGCTGCCAGCTGTGAGCAGGTGTTTGATGCCTGTGCAGAGCAGCTGGCCAGCCATGTGCAGTCACTGCAGTGCCGTGTGCAGAGTGGCCGGTCGGCTGGCTGTAATCTGCCCTTGGCCACATGCTCCAAGCGGCTAGTGGGCCGCACTTTATTCTTTTATAAAAATATAGTGGCAGGGCCCAGCCGGGCTGCATGCAGGCTGCCAGAGGCCCGTTTGACATGCCTGTCTTATACCTTAATGTAAGGGTCTGGTTGCGCCAGGAAAATGGGATGTGCCTGGAATGGGATCGTCTCTCATAAAACCAAACGGAAATGACAGACTCACCAAGACGAGCACAGGCCCCAAAACTGACATAACTGAATGAATGCTGAACGCTTGATGAGCCAAAAAAACCCAGGGTGAACCTGGAATAGGATTGCCTCTTAACAAGCCTTACAGAAAAGAGAGAAGCAGAGAAATTTGGAGCAGTGCTCTGTTTTGGCACAGCTTTAAAAAAAAAATAAAAAAATCAATGCTTAAGGGTTGAAAACTAGAAGAAAACATTACTGAAAACCAAATTGACTACAGCCCTTTTTTGTTACAACATAGCAAATAAGAGTTGAAAGGGATGAAACACACAAAAAAGACACTTGACGGAATTCCTATTTAAAGCAATTACTAAAAAATTACACATTTTAACAATACTTTAAGACATTGGAAATAAATATTAGCTTCGTAAAAATACTGTATTTTTCAAAAAAATACAATGTAAATGAAGAACGTCCACTTTCCTTTTATTTTACAGCCCCTCCCAACTTTGACTTAAGAACCCAAGCAATGCCAGGTAAATCTGCTAGTAATATTTATAAAGCATTTTAAAGCTGTCTACAGAGAGTCATTAAATCTCCTAAAACCCCAGTGCTGGAGGCATCACACATTTAACAGGACGCACATATATGTTAAGTGACTTGCTCTAGGGTCCCCAGCAAAAATCAGGGGCACACCCAATGTGACATTGCAGGGGTTGTGTGCCCAAAGCTCTGTGTGTGCGCTGCTTTCCATGCGTTTTCCCTTGGGGTTCTCAGACGGAAATAATAATACAATCACATTAAGCTATGGCTATATCTGCACACAACTTCATTTTAGGCCTCAGCATTGCCGGATCAGACACCGAGGCTGACTCACTTGTGGGACTGTGGTCCTAAAGCATAACTGCGATGAAAAAGTGACTGGAAAAATAATAATAATAAAAAAAAGGATCTAGTTTCTTAGCAGACCTGATCCTTTTGTGCATTCAGAGTCAAACGGGAAAGTTCTGGAAGTTTTTTATTCCTGCAGATTTAGTACAGCTTTCGAGAGCGAGCGGGATTCACTTCTGGATCCTGCCTCACCAAAAAGGTTAACTAAGATCTAGTAGCAGAATCTATTATTAGCAACACGAGTCCGAAAGAACACACAGACGGGTTCTCAAGAGTACTTGTAAACTGAGCCAACTTGATTGTGTCTCAGTGATTCTAGAGAAAGTCCTTCTCAACTGTGTGTCTTACTTTGGGCCTTCCAGTAACCCAAATGCTATACAGGATTCTGAAGGAGAAATAACTTGACAACACCTTCAAAGGGAAGTGATAAGAGCTGAAAAATTCTTTCAAAATTTCCATGTTTTTCTGGAAAAAAAATAAAATCAAGACATCTAGCTCATTTACAGCTGTCAGTTATCATTTCCCGGTTTATAAGAGAGACTGACAAGCAGACCCACCAACCCAGTCTCCCACATCTAAAGAGCTGTGCTCTAATATTCAGTATTCAATATTTCCACACCTAGGATATGCGAACACGAGACTGAGAAAGGGCACCAGTCTCGATCCCTAGTCTTTTTCTTTTGGTCACTTGTTACAAGCCGACTTACCCTTACTTCTCAGACCTATGTCTCTCGCACTGTGGGACAGGGGGTCTGAGCAGCACCTTCGGTAAGCATCCACCAGCTTTAATGCTTCTTGCTAGTTTTAGCCTAGTGCAGGGGACACAGGATTTCTAGCAGCTTTTTTGACCAACAGAACAGAACCACCCCCACCCCACCCCACGCACAGCTGCTTCATGCATTTCTATGGTATAAACTCAACCAGGATCCAACCTGAGGACAGATCCAAACTGCAAAGTGGCCGAGAGATGAGAGGCGTCTGAGGGACAATGCAGCAGAGATGGGTTTTTTTGGGGAAAAAACTAGAGTAAAGCAGTTTTGTCTATTTCATCAGCTCACCTTTATTTTTCTTTCATGTCACTAAGCACGACAGCCACTGTGTGAAAAGCACGGACTCAGGACTAGACAGGGAGATGCCCACAGTGGAATCAACCCGCCTAGAGATGTGGTCCACATTATAGTTCTAAGATCGGTCATTAACTACTTAGTTTAGTGGCTGTTTTTAGCCATGCCTGCCTTGCTCCGAAAGATTTAGGGAACACGAGGGCTAACAGTGAAACTGTTCTGAGGAGTGTGTGGGAGGAAAGTGAAATTAAACTTCTGGAAAAAAAGACACACATACACACAAAATACAGTTATGTTGTTTATTTCAGCCTGATCTCAGATCTATTGCTCTCATGCGAAGGTGCAGGGGAGAGAACAGACGGCTACCTCCCTTCAAGGATGGGTGGGGAGCGTGGGGAAACCCCAGCACTAAGGAAGTTTAGTAACTGTTGCTGCTTGCCCTGGTGGTGGTGGTGTTTTTTCCCCCCCTTCTGAAGCAGATGCATCTTACTTTTCTCCCACCTCAGCATTGCCCAATGTCTGGGCTCTCTAAAAATGTGAAGAATTTTCTCTCAGCCTTTCCCATCCTTCTTATGAAGTATTAAAAAGCCCTTCCACCTCAAAGCAAGTCTCTCAACCCCCAGTATGAACTTACACTCCCTTGACACTCCATCTAAACACTGGGCAAAATCCACCCTTGCTCACGTTGCACCAGTCCCACACGGGGTCTCTTGCTGTGTCTCCGCGAGGACACACTAAACTCTTTGCTAGGCAGGGAGCTAGCGACTTCAGGGAGTTTCCTCCAACAGCTCCAAAGTCTCAGCCTTGTGCAGAACCTTTCTGCTAGGGCTCTGGAGTGTTCTGCAATGGTTTTTCCCCTCAACCACTTACTGTTTTTACCTGGATTTGCTCTGCACAGATGAGGTTTGCCTCTAACAAGCCTGTGAAAGGCTGTGCAGATCTGTTGTGCTATAGAAATCATCCCATGCAGAACATGCCAGGAGAATCATGGCCCCACAAGCATTCTATTGTATAGGATTGATTAGCTTCACGGGAATGGTAACAGAGAAGTAAGGCAGCAAGAGGGATATCTTTCAGTAAAGCAAACAAACCACACCTCTTCCTTTCATCGCTAGGTCCTTATTCAGCAAAGCATTTATACTGAAATGAAGCCACAAGCCAACACGATCAAGTGTTTGAAGCACTGGACTACGATTTGGTAGACCTGGGTTCAATTCCTGCCTCTGATCTGCTAAGAGACATCAAACAAACCATGTCA